GTTCCGTGCTGTGCTCCGGGGGCAGGGACGTCTCTGCGTGGATGTGCCGCATGTAGCCTTACTTGCCTGGACTCCGAGCGGAGCAGAAGTCAGAACAGCCCATGCAGCAGCGGGGGGGGACTGTAAAGTGCCACGGGTCAGGGTGTGAGGGCAGGGGGTGGGAGCTGGACCCCCTTCACTCAGGACGCCTGGGTAAGACCTTCGCTACAGGCTTCACTGCAGCACAGCATCTGGAAAGAGAGAGTGGGAGGATGGATATCAGCGCAGGATCCCTGTCCTCATCCTGGCTTTTGGATGCAAGGGCCCTGCCAGAACGTGGGCAGCTCCCCTAACAGCCCTGCTCAGACCTCCCCGGGTAAGGAAGAGGAACCAGGTGGGTGCAGCTCTCCAGTGATCCCTGGGGCATCACACACATGCAGGATCAGCACTTCCTTCCCAGCCTGGGCTCTGAGAGGAGTCTCCAGCCAGACTGGAGGTCACAGGGGACAAGTCTTGACAAGCGGGGAGAAGGGGGCCTGCCCTCTGCCAGGGGCTTGATGTGCTCTGTGCTGTTTTGGAGTGCAGGAGTCAAGCAGGTCAGACCAGTCCCAGGGGCTCTGGCCTGTAATCACCCCTTTGGGCAACAGCAACAAGATCTCCCAGCACTGGCCCAGCAGCCCTGTCCCAGCCGCACGCGCAGGAGGCAGGGCTGGTGTGCCACACTGCGCAGGGGGCCTGGTGAGGCAGCCTGGGGAAACCTGAGCTCGAGGCACAGCTCTGCTGCCTTGGACCAGAGACCTCCACCACTGCAGTTACGTCTGAGTGGTTCCAGGGGCTGCAGAGCCCACCACCGGCCCCTCCTCCATCCAATCACCCCTGCTCGCCCCGAGGACCTGACCTCCTCTGTGCTGCATGGCACCTCACTTCTGATTTTCAGCCCAGTTTGAGAGCTGTAAGAATCCTGGTCATGAGTTTTTCTGACACGATAAACACTGAAATGGATGCAACAGCTGAGTAGAATCCATTCGGAGGGGCCGCGGAGCCTAACAAACTGCCCATGCCTGGCAGCTCTGCCTGTTGCCTGTCCCCACAGCTCGCCCTGCTCTTGTGGAGCAAAATCTTGGGGGAAGCAATAGAGGAATTGGTCTTCAAGTGGGTGAAGGCTACCTGCAGAGCAAGGCTGCATGTGGTATTTTGACCCTGCTGTGATGGGGGTGAGAAAGGGGCAGGACAGGGTGGCTGTGCCCTAGGATTTTGTTTAGAAGGAGTGATGAACCATAGAATCACAGAATGGT